GGCCAATAAACCTCGAACTCAACTTCCCTTTCTTCCCAAACCTCATGATGCCTTTCATAGGCGAAACCCGAAGCAGAACCCGCTCACCAACCATATATGAAACATCACAAACCTTCCTATCTGCGTAGCTCTTCTGTCTGGACTGGGCTGTACGGAGTCTATCTTGAATCACCTTAACCTTCTCCAATGCATCCTGAACCAACTCTGTGCCCAATAGCCTGGCCTCACCCGGCTCAAACCAACCCACCGGAGATCCACACCTCCTACCATATAAAGCCTCATACGGCGCCATCTGAATGCTGGACTGATAACTGTTGTTGTAAGCAAACTCCGCCAATGGCAAAAACTGATCCCAAGACCCTCCAAACTCAATCACACATGCACGAAGCATATCCTCAAGAATTTGAATGGTGCGCTCGGACTGTCCGTCCGTCTGGGGTGAAATGTTGTGCTCAACTCCACCCGAGTACCTAGCTCCTGCTGCACGGCCCTCCAGAACCGCGATGTAAACTGAGTACCTCTATCTGAAATAATAGAAACTGGAATACCATACAGACGGATGATCTCCCGGATATAAATCTCCGCCAACCGCTCCGATGAATAAGTGGTACACACAGGAATGATATGAGTGGACTTAGTCAGCTGATCCACAATAACCCAAATGGCATCAAACTTCTTCAAGGTCCGTGGGAGTCCAGATACAAAGTCCATGGTGATGCGCTCCCATTTCCACTCCAGAATCTCTATCTGCTGAAGCAACCCACCCGGTCGCTGGTGCTCATACTTCACCTGCTGGCAGTTGAGGCATCAGACATATAACCAACTATATCTTTTTTCATCCACCTCAACCAATAGTGCTGCCTCAAGTCCTGATACATCTTCGCGGCACTCGGATAGATGGAATACCGCGAACTATGGGCCTCTACTAAAATCAACTCTCGAAGCTCCTCAACATCGGGCACACAAATCCGCCCCTACATCCTTAATACCCCGTCATCTCCGATGGTCACATCTCTGGCATCACCCCGCTGAACCTTGTCCTTAAGGATAAGAAATGAGGGTCATCATACTGCCGCTCCCTGATACGATCAAATAAGGAAGACCGGGAAACCACACAGGCTAGAACCCGAATGGGCTCCGAAAGATCCAATCTCACAAACTGGCTGGCTAGCCTGAACATCCATCGCCATAGGCCTCTCTGAAGCTGGTAAATATGCCAAACTCCCCAAACTCTTCGCCCAGCGACTCAAGGCATCAGCCACCACATTGGCCTTGCTCGGGTGATACAGAATAGTAATATCATAATCCTTCAGCAACTCTAACTACCTCCTCTGATGCATATTTAGATCCTTTTGCTTGAACAAGTGCTGCAAACTCCGATGGTCAGTATAGATCTCACAAGGCACACCGTACAAATAATGACGCCAGATCATCAAGGCATGAACAATAGCAGCTAGCTCAAGGTCGTGGACAGGGTAATTCTTCTCATGTATCTTCAACTGTCTAGAGGCGTAGGCAATCACCCTACCATCCTGCATCAACACCGCTCCGAGGCCAACTCTCGAGGCATCAAAATAGACAGTATAAGACCCCGAACCAATAGGCAACATCAAAATTGGGGCTGTAGTCAAAGCTGTCTTGAGCTTCTGAAAGCTCGCCTCACACTCCTCTGTCCACTAAAATGGGGCACCCTTCTGGGTCAATCTAGTCATAGGGGCCGCAATCGATGAAAATCCCTCCACAAAACGACGGTAGTAGCCCGCCAAACCAAGGAAACTACGAATCTCTGTAGCTGAGGACGGCCTGGGCCAACTCTACACAGCCTCTATCTTCCTCGGATCCACCCGAATGCCCTCACTCGAAACCACGTGGCCTAAGAATGCCACATAACTCAACCAAAACTCACATTTTGAGAACTTCGCATATAACTTCTTCTCTCTCAGGGTTTGAAGCACTGTCCTCAAGTGCTGCTCATGATCTTCCCGACTCCGGGAGTATACAAGAATATCATCTATGAAAATAATGATGAACGAGTCGAGATATGGCCTGAACACACTGTGCATCAAATGCATGAAAGTTGCTGGGGCATTGGTCAGCCCAAATGACACAACAAGAAACACGTAATGGCCATACCGAGTCCTGAAGGCAGTCTTCGGGATATCTGGCTCCTGAATCTTCAACTGATGGTAACCTGAGCACAAGTCAATCTTAAAAAACACCCGTGCGCCCTGAAGCTGGTCAAACAGATCATCAATACGAGGCAAAGGATAACGGTTCTTCACTGTAACCTTGTTCAACTGGCGATAATCAATACACATACGCATGGAACCATCCTTTTTCTTCACAAACGAGACAGGAGCACCCTACGGTGAAACACTGGGGCGAATAAAACCCTTATCAAGCAATTCCTGCAATTGATCCTTCAACTCTTTCAACTCAGGAGGAGCCATACGGTATGGAGGGATGAAAATGGGCTGGGTGCCCGGCAACAGATCAATGACAAACTCAATGTCTCTATCGGGCGGCATACCCGGAAGATCAGCTGGAAACACATCGGGAGTGTGATCTAAAGTACCACTCCACTCAACGCGCGGAATACCTGGCATAGCCAGCATCACGGTCTTGACGTGACAATCAAGAATAGCAAAATGGGGCGACAAGCAGTCCATGCCCAAGATAATATTAAAATCAACCATACCGAGTGACAATAAATCTGCTCTGGTCTCAAAACCAGAAATAGTAACCAGACACGACCAATAAACGCGGTCCACAACAAGAGAATCCCCCACAAGAGTAGAAACATAAACGGGGGCACTCAAAGAATCCCGAGGCACACCCAAATACGGAGCAAAGTAAGAAGACACATAAGAATAAGTAGAGTCCGAATCGAATAGAACCGATGCCTCTCTGTGAAAAACCAGTATAATACCTGTAATAACGAAGTCGGAGGCAACAACCTCAGTACGAGCTGAAATAGCATAATATCTGGTCTGGCCCCTCTCTCGAGGGTGACCTCTATCTCCTCGACCTCCACCCCTAGCCGGCTGGGCAGATGGGGTAGCAGCTGGAGCTGTGACCATGGCCTAAGAACTCTGAGAAGTACGCTGTGGCTGAGCAGTCTGTGAAGATGCACCCCTACCAAGTCTGGGGCAGTCCCTAATCATATGGCGTGTATCACCACACTCAAAGCAAGTTCTGGGAGGACGCAGTGGTTGTGACTGACTAGGTCCAGGTCTGCTGGACCGACCCCTGGAAGCGCCCCGCGCAGGAGGCGCGCTAGAAACTGGAGGTGCATAGTAAGGCTCCTGAGGTATAGGCGGAGCTGGAGCGCTACTGGCTGCTGGAAGAGCTGAATGAACAGGGCGACCCACATAACCTCTTCCATGACGACCTGTTGCTGGGGTACGGGCACCAGAATAGTGGCCCGACTCTCGAGACCTCTTGGCCTCCCTCTCCCCTCACTCCCTGGCGAGCATACCCTCAATCCTCCTAGCAATGCTCACTACCTGCTGATAAGGAATGTCCATCTCCAACTCTCGAGCCATGCTAGATCTGATGGGAGGGATAAGACCCTCAATAAACCTGTGAACTCTCTCACAGACTGTAGCAACCAAGGCCGGTGCATGCCTGGCCAACCTGGTATAACGGATAGCATACTCTGAAACGGTCATAGCACCCTGGCGCAAATGCTCAAACTCTGCGCGTCGTGCGTCTCTGAGACTCTGGGGGACAAACTCTCTCATAAACATATCTGAGAACTGGGTCCAAGTCAGTAAAGCAGCCTCGACTGGACTATCTATCTCATAAGTGCGCCACCAATCATAGGCGGCTCCCCGAAGCTGAAAAGCAGTAAAGGAAACCTCGCTGGACTCGACTGTGCCCATAGTGCAAAGAATACGGTGGCACTCCTCTAGAAATCCCAAGGCGTCATCTGATGCTAATCCACTGAACACTGGGGGATCATACTTCTTAAACCTCTCAAGTCTCCGCTGCTCGCCCTCTAAAGCAGCTGACCCGTCCTCGGGCTGAACTGGCACTGTAGGCGGTGCGGGAATAATCTCGGGAACCCGCTCAACCTGCACTCACTGCTCAGGAGTGTGGGCGGCGGGAGTCTGTGCTCCTCCCCTGGCCTGGGATATGGCTGCAGCAAGGGGAAGCAACCCTGCCTGAACCAAGGTGGTGTACATACTCATGAATTGAGCCAAAGCCTCCTGGAGAGCTGGAGTAGTAGTGGTAGTAGTAGGTGTGGCAGGTGTCTGGGCTCCGACTGGATCTGCTGGTGGTGCCTCGGCGGCAGCTCGCGCAGGTGCTCTGGCTGCACCACGTGCGCGTCCTCGACCTCTCCCCCGGCCCCGGCCTCTGACGGCTGCAGTAGGGGGCGCGGGTGCCTGATCAACTCGAGTAGCACGTGTCCTCACCATCTGTGAGAGAATAGAAGACAGAAGTTTAGAATTGATGTCAAAAATACCGCACGACAAGGAAATCAAATGAAATGAAGAGTTTTCCTAAGTAGTTACATAGCCTCTCGTAGATAAGTACAGACGTCTCCGTACCGATCAGCGAGACTCTAATAAACCGGTATGTGTTTCGTGACTCCTATGAACCTAGAGCTCTGATACCAACTTGTCACGACCCCAGTTCGCCCTCAATAAACATGTCGTGAAGGCACCTAGTCCCTATAACTAGGTAAGCCTAACAATGTGGAATAACAACCAAACTTGCGGAATAATTAATTAAAACTGAACAAGTTAAAATAATAACTGCATATAAAGGCCACTCGGCCAATACAACTCAAAAGAAATGCGGAAATCTGCAACACCATCCCAAAATCCGGAAACTCACGGAAAACACAGGCTAAAGAAATACTGTAAATGCTCTAATCTCCAGAGTGTCTACATCAAGGGTACGATAGAAAACTAAGTACTACAGATAGAATAAAGAAGGAGACTCTTCGGTCTGCGGACGCTGCAGATGTACCTCGAAGTCTCCGTAGCTCTCCCTGCCTCAAGGATAGTGTGCCTGAAATAAAGTACCTGGATCTGCACATGAAAAACATGCGCAGAAGAGGCATGAGTACACCACAACGGTACTCAGTAAGTGCCAAGACTAACCTCGATTGAGGAGTGACGAGGAAGGTCAGGGCCCTACTAAGAATAATAATAATGATAAGTCTTGCAACAGTATGAAATAAACAGAAATAATAAGTACTACTATGAAGTAAGACAGGGTTTACAAGGCAACAAATAATACACAAAGAATAAGGTAACATGGAGTAAAACAACTCAATAACAATACCATCAACGATGATCTCCCAGGATACCGTCATGTAGTCCATTTCATCAACTGTTCAAGGAGCTCCTGGGATACCGTCCCGTAGTCCATCATATGAGTATATCCGAAGGATCTCCCGGGATACCGTCCCGTAGTCCAACTATCAATGTGCAGGGGGATCTATCGAGAATCGAACCCGCAGTCCCAAAGTAAATATGCAGGGGGGATCTATTGGGAATCGAACCCGCAGTCCCAAAGTAAACAAACAAAGGGGGGAAGCTACCGGAATCCCACATCCGTAGTGCCAATGTAAATACGCAGCCACAACGAGAAGATACTCAAAATTGGAATGCAAAAAGTACAAGGCAACAGGTAATTCTAGCCTAACATGCTTCACGTAGTACAAACAAAGCAACTTAAGCAAATAGGCCATTTAGATCAACTAAGCATGCTTTTCTAAACTAACACAAGCTATAATTGCGAATGGAATAAAGCAGGCAAGAAAGAAACTCAGTCTAAATATTTAAGTAAACCGAAATTTCAACAATTAGCCCAAGTACGCGCTCGTCACCTCACGCACAAGGAATTCAATTACCAAATATCATATCCTAAGGGGAAGGTCCCCCACACAAGGTTAGACAAGCCACTTACCTCGAACCGGCTCAAAAATCAACTAGGAACCACGCCTTTGCCACGAGTATCCGACTCCAAATGGCCCAAATCTATTCAATTCAATTACATATTGTAAATAACATCGCAAACAACTGATTCTACTATTTAATTCAAAGCTAAGGCGTGAAATTAGGTAAAATGACCAAAATGCCCCTCAGGCTAATGTCTCGGAACCGGATAATTTTCACATTTTTAGAACCCTCGTACTCCCACGAGTCTATACATAACAAGAACACTAAAATTGGAGTCCAAATGACCTCTCAAATTCTCAATTGAAGGTCTAAGAACTTCTCCCCCAATTTCTACCAAAATTTCGAAATTAAAAGTTGATATTAACTAAAGATTGATGGAATATAACTACAAAGGATTAAAGAAAAGTTACCCAATGATTTTCTCTTCAAAACCCTCTCAAAATCGCCCTCTCCCGAGCTCAAATTTGATTTTTCCAACTTTTGAAACTAAACCCTCGAAATCACTATTTCTGGTCAGGGATTTCCGCTTTTGCGGTCAAGGGACCGCACCTGCGGTCCCGCTTCTGCGGACCAAATGCCGCTTCTACGACTTACACTTTAGTGACAACATTCCGCTTCTGCAGACAGGCAACCGCTTCTGCGGTTCCGCTTCTGCGGGTACAACACCGCTTCTGCGGTTTCTGAAGGAAATGACAAAAATCGCTTCTGCGATGCCCAGGCCGCTTCTGCGGCTCCCAAGCCGCAAAAGTGAAAATACCAGAAGCAGAAAAGCTTCAGCTGCTGCAAAACTTCTCCAATCTTCCCGTTAACCATCTGAAATCATCCCAAGGCCCCCGGGACCTCAACCAAAAGCACCAATAATACCAAATACCTCATTCAAACTTATTCCAACCCTTAAACCACCTACAACGTCGGAAACTCAATTAAATCAAGGATTTGAGCCTAAGAACTGCAAATTCTATCAAAACACGCTTTTGAACAAAAACCTAACCAAACCTCATCCGAATGACCTGAAATTTTGCACACACGTCCCAAATGATATGACGGAGCTACTGCAACTTCCGGAATTCCATTTCGACCCTCGGATCAAAAACTATCGGACCGGAAACTTCAAAAATTCAAATTTTGGCATTTCAAGCCTAAATTAGCTACAGACCTCCAAAATACATTTCGAACACGCTCCCAACCCCGAAATGACCTAACGGAGCTAACGGAACCATCGGATTTCCATTCTGAGGCTGTCTTACACTGCTCCGACTACGGAAAACTTTCCAACTCTTAAGCTCTCATTTAGGACTAAGTGTCCCAAAACTCTCCGAAACCCGACACCGAACGTCCCGGCAAACCAAAATAGCAGAAATGAACTTAGGGGAAACAGTTAATAGGGGATCGGGGCGTTAATTCTTAAGACAACCGGCCGGGTCATCACAAGATGGCATCTGAACACTGTTAATTTCTTGATGTGCATAAGAAGAGGTGCTATAGAGTTGTTGTATGTTTCTCAACTTTAGAATGTGCAAAAACTTAGAAGCTTTTCTTACAATTCATAAACAAAAAATGCAGGGTAAGATAATAGGTGCTTGTGATATTCTACCATAATTATGTCCTTGAAAAATAACTCTAACACTAGTCCTAGAGAACATTGTTGGGACAGAAGAAAAGAATCATTGTAGGCATATCGTAGCACATAATTGGTAGCTCCCTTGCAGCTTTAGTGTATACATTTAACATGCACATAACTTATACAAGTGTGTATGTTCGTGTGTGTGTGTTTAGTTAACTTATATATAGTATCATAGCTTCCTAACATAGTACTATAACTAGCCAGATTTGTGAAGATCTGTGTTCCCTTCCTACAGCAATGCAAAAAGATTGAAACCGTCATCTTAGATAAAAGCTACCTATATTTAGAAATAATGTTTACTTTCATTTGTAACAATATTTGTTATTTCCTCCAAGCCAAAGTTAATCTCAAGTGGCAGTAATATATTGTTGAAAGTAATTATTTTCTTGTTCAGTACTTCCTTTTGATTTAAGTACTCCTTTTGAAATTTGAAGATCATTTATCATAAATTAGCTAGTTTTACTCCGGCCAGTAGCTTGTTGCAATACTCTCCTTCTTAATCTGAACATGAGATGGACAATGTGAGCAAACTCTTGTAGGTTAGAGTTGTGGAGTCGTTTTGTATCTCATATATATATATATATAACAGTGCCTTCGACAAGAAAGTCTATCTAAATACCCTCCTAGTTCCATGCCCAGACATAATTTACTCTACGACCAAGGTTGTTATCATCCGTCACAACCAGAAACTGCCCCACTTCACCTAATAAGCTGCCTACTACTTTTCTTCCTAGTCTAGTATCATTATAGCAGATTTTTACACTCGACAGTGCTCACCAAAGAGACCATCAAGATTCTCAAAATCCAACAGTAGCCTAAAACTTCAATTTCTTAACTTATTGAATAACTCCATGACTTCAGCATTCCAATCACAACAACATCACTTGTAGATTAGATCAATTACCAATCATAAGTAATCATGCCAAGAGATCAGGATACTTTCAGATACATAAATATTTGAGAAAGGATATATGAAATGACATGCATAGAAGAAAATGATAGCTTGAACCACTTTCACTTTGATCAGTTGAACCACTTTTTCAGTTTGAGAAGTGTAAATGAACAAAAAACCACGGTTAAATTTCCCTTGGGCTTATGAAGATGATAAGGTGAATCCAACAAATAGAGTAGCTGAATTCTATTGATACTAAAGTGAAGGGAGCTGCTAACGGGGAAGCCTATTGGGGATCAAAGATATTCACAAAAATAATGAGAACAAAAATCAGAATGAAAACGTCGACCAGGTAGATTACAAAAGTAAAAAAAGGACAGTGTAATAAAATATTTTTCTAACACAGATGAAGGAAAAGACAAGACTAACAATGAGAAAGGGGAGAAAGTAGAAGACTCAGCAGGTGTTGCACGGAAGAAATGAAATAAAAACGTACCCACATCCTTTCTGACTTTCCACATATCCACTTCTTTTCATTTTTGGTTCTGTGAGTCTTCAGAAATAATTCATCATTACGGAGATCTTTCCCTGTTAGCTCCTTCTGCAATCATTAAGAATATTGTTAATTAACAGGATATATCATAGAAAAAAAATTAGACTAATACTAATTAATACTGAAAAAATTAAAAAAATACGTGTCTTCTTCTGTACTCAGCAAATGCAACTGATCATCCGGTATGTAAGGAAGGACCTTCTAAATTATTAGATGACATTCTATTCTTCGAGTTGATTTTTGATTTCTTTTTAAAATTCTCAGAGTTCCAATATTCCATCAAAACGTCCCAGTGATCTTTAGCAATCCATCCCGGTGATTCTTTTATTTTTGAAAATTGTCTTTTTGCTTTTCCCAAAATGTCACTTAACCTTTCACTCCCCACATGCTCAAAAGTCCGTCGAATAAAACTTTATCCGCACTAGGAAAAGAATAATTTTTCTGCAATTAGAAAGTAAACATTCAGTTTGGTATCATTTATCAAGTTAAGTCAATTACGACAGTTAAGTATAAATACCTCGAAGTCATTGAACCATCTATCTCGTACATGCTCCGGAACTTTGCTCCAACAATGCCATGATCCTGAGAAGCTTTTCTTAAAGGCTATTGTTACATTCCGAACAACTTCATGCGGGCAAAATCTACAAAATGATCAATATAATATTTTATTGGAAGATAACTAAATGAAAACGAATTTAACCATAACTTGTATAACTAGATTTACTTACGTGTCTCTGTTTACTTTCAAAGATATTATTCCACGAGTAGTATCTCATCTTGCCTGCGGATTATTACTTCCATAAGATGCAAGTGTTTGTTCAGCAGAACATCTTGAGAATGAGTTTCTTGTTGAGAACCAACATCCTGAGAAGAACGAGGTGCTTGTTGATGACCAATATTCAGGGAAGCAAGAGTTGCTTGTTGACCACCAACATTTGAGAAGCAGAAGTTGTTTGTTGAGCATGAACATCTTGAGATGTATGTATAAGCTGCCGAAAACTACTTTCATGAGATGAGATAATATGTTGGTTTGAACCAACCTGTTGAGATGTAGGGGTTGATGGTTCACTAATATTGGCATGAGAAGTGTTCGGTAGTTGTTGGTAGCCTTCTCCCCCTTTGTTAGACATGCCCCCACGACCTCCCCAACTACGTTTAGTGCCTCTTCCCCTTGTCATACTTCCTGATCAAATACTGGCAAGAAGAGTACAACAACAAAAATAATAGTAATAATACACTAGCCAAACAGAACATATAAAATATAAAAATTTGACCATCCAAATATTTTGCTAGAACAAGCATAACAAAACATATGAAGTATAAAAATTTGACCATCCAAATATTTTGCTAGAACAAGCATAACAGAGACCTCTCTATTTGACCCTTTAGCAAAATAATTCACCTACTTTTTCCCCTTTTTAATAGATCTTCTTCGATAAGAAATGATCTTTTTCTGTCTTTTAGTGGGAGAAGGATTTATAGTTTACCTATTATATTTTTTATGGAGATTTTGGTATGATTATCACAATTTGGTGTCTATTTTGTTCACAAGATATGTTATGAGCGCGAATTGCGAATTCAGCTAGTAGCCTAGTACTAGGAAAATGTAAGGTTTTGGAATATAAAATGCAGAGAATTCAGCTAATGTTTTTACATCTTGAACATGAACAGCTTATACTTCCATTAGAAACGAAGTCATGTTGCATTAATGCAAACCTTACAAATTCGTGCACACCTTCTATGAAGGCAGAAGTTACTCCTTTCCGACTTGGCACTAGTCTATTATACATCCACATAGGATCAGCTCTAAAAGAACTCATGCTTCCTATCTAACAAACAATGACAAAACACTATTTTTAGTGCTAATATAATAATTAGTTTACTCAAAGTAAATGAGATCCAAATCTTCTTATATTCTTAGTTCACCAATTTAAACAGATCGACAACACCACAAATAGCTAATTGAGAAGGATTCAGAATAACCATTTAATTAAGAGAAAAAAAACACTTAGATTTTCTTAGAACCAAATAGTAGAAGTTGGATCTGTTTTCTATTTGACACATACTTGTAAGTGAAATTTACTATCTCACATCAATTTTGTTTGCTAGTAAACCTACAAAAGTCACATATACTTCTTTTTCTTTCCAGTCATATATTACAAGTATAAATTGTATAATAATTGCATTCTTCTTCACTTATCATGTTGCCCTCGTGTAAATTAATTTTACTCGGTTTACAATAGTAGAAATAATTTTTCATTTATTTTCCTCTGAAATCCAGAAATAGTTGTTCAATAGAGAAATATAAGGACAAAAATTTTATAATTAGCAAAAACTAAACAAAACATACAAGTAGAAACAATTTAAATCACATTACTGAAAGTTCAATTTCTATATATATGATAGGAACATAAATCATTGGGGTAATTGCTATCTCTTACTTTCAGAGTTAACGTAAAATTAAACAATGACAAGAGTTCCTGGTGCGAGAAAGGTACTGATGAACACTCACGATAAATTAAACACTCACAAAAGACCTTTTTGCACAGATGCTTTAGGTATAGGAGAAATTCTTACCTTCACGGAAGCTTACAAGCGGCAGAGATAATTAGCGTTCTTCCTTCACTGAATTGGAAGATGATCGTTGAGGGTTTAGAGGGATGAAGAGACATGGGAGAGTGCGTGGGCGTTTAGCGAATTTTAACGAGTTGCGAATTTGAAGGAGTTGAGATACAGTAGTCCAATTAAAATAAGATTACCAAGTTTAGCGTTAACTTTACAATTTTAAGGAAAAAGGTTGCCTTTAAGTTTTCAATCAAAAGCCCTAAGACGAATCTCTAGGGATTTCAATCAAAAGTCCAAACATGGATATAAATCTATTATTATTATTATTATTATTATTATTATTATTATTATTATTATTATTATTATTATTATTTAATAGTAGTAGTAGTAGTACTACTACTACTACTATTTAATAATAATAATAATTTGCTAGAGACTGGCTTGGATTTTTCCCTGGCTAAACAACTAAATTTGACCAAAAAAATTAGCGCTATATTAGAATTTTCCGCGAAATCTTAGCTACTTTTTAGCTAGGGATTAGCCAGGAATGTAATCCTAGCTAAAAGATAATCTTTCGGGCAAAATTATTAGCGCCAAAATAAGATTCCCGCTAAATTTTGGCTATAGATTAGCTAAGAAGTCTTTCCTAGCTAGCACATTGCTAGGGATGCGCTACGGACTGTATCCCTAGCTAAACTATGATATTTTGGAAAAATAAATCTAGCGCCAATTAGAATTCCCGCTAAAAATTAGCTATAAATTTGGCTAGGAAAAATCTGTAGCTATCATTTAGCAAGGAATAGTCCCTAGCTAATTCCTAGCTATTTTGTGACTAAATTTTCAGTCGAAAAAATTTGCAAGGAAATTGGACTTCTCTAGCTACATCCCTAGCTAAAGGCGTATATTAGCTAGGGAATTGAATTCCCACGCTAAATTCCGATGCTAATCGCATGTTCTCCTGTAGTGCGTTGCTGTATTTTATGTATTTCATTGTCTTTTTTTTATTGTATTTCAATGTATCCCGCTGTATTCTATGTATTTCATTATATTCATTGTCTCGCTATATTCCATGAATGTATTCATATGTTTTTTTTAATTAATATAATTTATGTATTATATAATTTCTCTGAAGATTGCTATATTTTGGGGTGTTTTTTGGTTGAGAATCTTTTTTATAACTGGAAATACAAAATTTGTGTGTTATAATTGAGTTTGTTGAGTTATATTAGGAGTCTATTATGTTAATTGATTCACTTTCCGTTTAAAAACAGTGTAATCCCCTGTTTCACGCCGTGAATACAGTTGAATACAGTCGTATACAATAATATATCCAGTTGTAATCTCGTGTTTCACGCCATGAATATAGTCGAATACACTCAAATACAATAATATGTCTAGTTGTAATCCCCTGTTTCACGCTTAGATATGCTACTGTATTCATGGATACAATAGCTTAAATACATCGAATACACTCTAAAAATTGAAAACATAGCTATAGGAAGTAATATAGTAAATGGTAGCTACAACTAGCTAATAACCCCTAAAACATACTCCCTCTGTTCTAGTTTATGTGAACCTATTTCCTTTTTGGTCTGTTCTAAAAAGAATGACCCCTTTCTAAATTTGGTAACAATTTAGCTTAAACTTACAATTCTACCCTTAATAAGAAGCTTTTATAACCACACAAATACTTTGGGCCCCTTTTTGGCTTGTTTAGGACCACAGATTCCTAAGGTCTTCATTTTTTCTTAAACTCCGTGCCCAATCAAACATGTTCACATAAATTGAAACGGAGGGAGCAGTGATTTCTGAATGTTTGTCTTTTTATTACTCTTTACTAGGACACTAGAAGAACAAGTTTTTATAAAGTGAAAAAGGGGGTGAGTAGACAATTAGCCCTTAAAGTGAATAGTTTTGAATTTTTATTTTTGCTTCCGCCCTGTTGACAGAAATTTAAGTTTAACAAGTATTTCACCTCATTTGTCCTATGAACAACACTTTTAATTTTTAATCTTGAAGTTCTGTCAATAAAGTAAACGGAAATCAAAAATTAAAGACCATTCCAAAAATTGTCATATTTTTGCGATTTCTTGGAGAAAAGGAGCTATTCCTAATTCACGAGAGACACTCTCTTTTGAGATGTCCACTAATTTCTGCCAACGGTGAGATTGAGTTCTATTGGACGATCAAAACACAATCAAGATAACGTCTCACAAGAGCGAGCAACTCATAGTTAAGGACGTTAGAGCTAGACCATAGTTGAGAAGTAGCTCTCGAATGGACATTTATACTAAGCTTTTCTGATTGAGGAGGAATAAGAGCAGAGCTCAGCCCTCAGGGTAACTGTCGTGGAACATTTTTCCACGCACATAACTTGCCAAGAACATAATCACCACTTCATGTCTCGTCAAAGTTAATTAGCAATTCTCAAAAATAGAGAATGAATATACTAGAATTGATCGACCGTCATGTTTACTGTATGGAGCATGTTATTCACCAAGTATTCCAAAAATAATCTGATCAACAACATCAATAATAACATATCTAGTGTAATTTTATAAGAGTGATCAAAATAGAATAGTGTATATGCAAACCTTATCCTAATTTTGTAAAGGTAAAATGGTTGGTACCGATAGAATAATAATCAAATCATACAACTAAAATAATATCAAACTTCAAAGCACAAATGCCAAGAAGAATCCAATAACCAACGAAACCAATGAACCAAAAGTGGAAGCTCCACTAATCTCATTCTCTTGAGTCGGTGTAAAAACAGTACTTGACCCATTATTATTCGGATTCGACCCATATAACATCTGGACCCCCTCAATATCGTCACTGGACAACTCCACTTTCCTTGCACCAGCGCTAAGTGTGGGAAACATAATCGCTTCTTTTTTGGATGAATGATCCAAACCCAATAAATGCCCGATTTCATGAACTGCAACCGATTCAAGATCCACACCCGATATTCTCAATAACGGTTCTTTCAAAAACTCGCCGTCCACGACCCAATTCTCCTCCCCGTCTAAGTGGAAAAATCCCGTAGGCGGTGAAAATGCATGGGCCAAAATCTTCATGGGCCCATCAAACGGGTTACCATCTCCATGATCCCCGACTAAAAACTCGATCCGAATATCCGCTGTTCTATAAGAACCCGTCTCCCTGAAACTTAACGGCGTTACCTCCGACCATTTATCAAACGCCCGTCCAAACGCTGCCTTAACAGTATCCGTTAACTGATTCTCCGGTAGAAATGCATACTTTAAATTAGTTTTACTCGGTGGCCAACGTGGCCGACCTTCGAAGAACGAGAAATGAGCCACCTTATGCATGGCCGGAGACTTGCCGGAGTTCATACTAGTAGTACCATTTACTATATCTGGATTTCCACATCTGGGTTTTATCATATGTTGAAGAGTGACCGCGTCGAATTCTCCGGTTGTGTTAAGGTTAAAGTTAAGCTGATAAGTCTTAAGTGCTGAAAAAAGAACGTCATCAAATTCATCACTGAATTTTTTGCTCAAAGAACTTATATACCCAAAATGTTGAAAATACTGCTTGATTTTAGCTAAGCCTTCGATTTTTTGGCCAACATGGCAACCCAAATACTTGTTGAAATGGTTCCATGCAGAGTTATTGGGAAATATAGAACGAGGGATTGAAGAAATGTTAGTGTAAAAATGAGCAGAAACTGGTGCAGAAGTATTAATGATTATTACTACAACAACAAAGAAGTTGAAAAAGAAAATTCTCATTTTGTCTATATTACTTTGGAGAAAGTGGAAAGGGAAAAGGTTTTTTTTATGGCTTGCATTTAAGCTCAATTCTAAGGTTTTTCAGTACATATATCTATGGATTTTTAAGACGTCCGGAAATGTACAAGAAATTTATGTTTTTTTTTTTTTTTGGCAGAATAGCCTAATACATACTTGTACTTGCTTCGTTTTGACATCCCGGTCCTTGTATTTCACATATTTTCATCCAGACACCTTAATTTATCAAAACAGATCTTTTAAATACCTCTGACCGTTGACCGAGCTTATCTCGCATTTATCAAGTTGAGCTGGACAAAGAGCGTAGGATACACGTACATTGCGAGCGTGGATGGGCGATTTTGATTAAAAAGAAAACTAAAAATCCAAAAAATAAATAAAAAATAAAAGAAAATGACAAAAAAAAACATTTTCAACCCGTCACCTCCTCTCTCCTTCTTCCACCCGCCATTGCTGCCGCCCTTCTCCATTACCGCTGCCACCTCTCCCTCGTCCTTCTCTTCCACCACCACCAGAATCTCATCCCTCCATAAATCGTTGTCAAATGAGATGATTTTTTACTGTTTGGGGATTCGGTTAAGCAAAATTAAACACATCAAAACTCATTTGAAGTTAAACCTTGAATATGAGAAATTGAATTTCGTTGAAGTGTATGAGTTCGAGATCTGGAGTACTATTAAATTATTGAGCCAAAATTGTGATGATATTCTTATTTGGGTCGTTGGACTGAAGTTGTTGAACACCTGTGATGTTTACTGATGAAATTAGCAGGAAAGCTCAAGATAGTAATGATTAACTTTCAACCCAAAAATTATTACCACTAGAGAATCCATTCTCTGACAAAGAGTCCAAAAGATGAGAGATTTTTTAGATCGATTAAGACTAGGACTTGAGAAATTGGAAAAGAACGGACTCCAAAAAGATGAAAGATAATAGAGAGGGTCAGAGAAATGAAAAGTGCAAAAAAGAAAAAGGAGACTTCATCCGGCAAAACTGTCGGAGATGGTGACGGATATTTAGAAGAAGATGAATTGGGGTTTCCAGTTGAAATTTTTTGTATTGAGGTGTGAGATTTCATAAAAATTTGAAATAACCTGCTAGGAAGGGACCCACATTTTTATTTGTTAAAATCTAATTCAAAATAAAATTTCCAAATTTAAATCACTGCTTTGGAGAAAAAAGGGGATATATTTAGAATTTTAATAATATATTAATGATGATGTGGTATTAAATTATATGACATGGATCTGACATGTCCTCTATGTAAGCACGAGTAAGTAACACGCGGTGTTGGAGGTGTTTAAAATTTACTTTTTTATTAAGTTTAAGTGTCT